TGGCCAGAGATATTCCATTCCATATATCTACGTAAGCTCAGAGGAAGGTCAGAGATCACAGAAGACAACTTCCTTCCTTCTTCTTCTCCCCTTCTCTTCTGTCCATGGCCGGCATCCAGGGAGGACTCTGTCCATCCATCACTGTCGATCCTCAGGCTTGATCTCTCCTGACCCCCATAACTCTCTGATCTTCTCCAGCAGCAGCTTCGGGATTCCTCGGGACTCTTCCCAGTTCAGGGAAGTGCTGTGGGAGTTGCTGGAGTGGGGGGAGGCGGGAGGCTTTTGCCCATTCCTGAATATATCTGTATATAATTGTATATATTTTCTTGTATCATTCATTAGTGTTTTAATTAAAGCTGTGTAGTTTAGTTTTCAATCCAGCCAAGTCTCTCTCTTTTTCTCTCTCTCCTTCCCTACCTGGGTTGGGGGGAGGGGATCGAGAGCATTGTTGGGGGATCGAGAGCCTTGTTGTCGGACCTGAGTCAAATGGTGACAATGTGAGTAGTGATTTTGCAGATACTTATGGTTGCTTTGTAGGAACTGGGTTAATCAAGTGAGGGAGTAAACTAGTTCCCTTGGTTCTGTTACTGGCAGCAAGAGGCAGATCCTCCAAAGTGAAACTACTGAGGGTTGTGCTTGTTACTGCACTGGCATGGGGTGCTGACCTTGCCCCAGAGAAAACTGTTACTGCAAATGTTGTAGCATGAAGTTTTGTTTTAATTCAGCCTGATCCACCTAAGAAACCACACTTAAATCATAAATCATGGAATACTAGGATGGTTTGGGTCAGAAGGGACCTAGAAGATCATTAGGTTCCAACCCCCTGCATGGGCAGGGACACCTCCCACCAGCCCAGGCTGCTCCAAGCCCCATCCAACCTGCCCTTCAACACTGCCAGGGATGGGGCAGCCACAGCTTCCCTGGGCAACCTGGGCAAGGCTCTCACCACCCTCACACTGAAGAAATGACCAATACATACATGAGAGTCACTACACTGATCCCAGAAACAAAAACCACAGAAATCCCCTGTTCTTTGTTTTGGAAAGGGGAACTCTGTAACAGTGAGAAAGCTGCTTGGGAGGGAAAAACTGAAAGGGACAGCTAAAAGAATGAGAAGATTTTACACAGCACCGAGGTTACTGAAAGACCACCTGGGAAGCACTGACCAAGTGCATGTCACCTGTCAGAGAAGCACGTAGGAGGATCAAGGATGGCTAAGACATCAAATGTGGCCAGAAGGTGGGACATGGGAGGCTCTCAGAGACACGAGGCATCCCTCAGGAGGTTGCATTTGTGTTTTAGGAAGGAAAACAGAAAAGACCGTTAAAAAGAGAGATGTAAAAATCATTGCTCAACAATCAGAGTTTGATCCACAACTAGCAAAAAGACTTAAAAAGCATAGTCAGGAATATTTCAGTCTTGTCAGAAGCAGGAGGCCTGAAACACATTTCCTAGAACGAATCGGCTCTTGAGATCTAAAAGGAGTGTGTAGAAAAGACAATATTGGAGCAGAAAACCCAAAAGAGGTTTTTTTCTTGCATCTGCGTTTATGGTGGAGGAGGCTGGGGAAGTTCCCAGACAGGAGCTCAGAGGATTGCCTGAGGATGTGTCTCACACTGCAGCATCAGTGGGGTTAGAATCAATTGACAAAGTGAACAGTAACAAACTCCCCATTGCCAGATGGTCATAGAATCTTAGGGGCTGGAAGGGACCTCGAGAGATCATCTAGTCCAACCCCCCTGCCAGAGCAGGGTCAGCTAGAGTACATCACACAGGAACTCATCCAGGTGGGTTTTGAATGTCTCCAGTGAGGGAGACTCCACAACCTCCCTGGGCAGTCTCTCCCAGGGCTCTGTCACTCTTACAGTAAAAAAATTTTTTTGGATATTCACCTTGAACCTCCTGTGCTCCAATTTACACCCATACGAGTCTGTACCTCTTCCTTCAGAGCTGCTCCCATACACTGGCCTTAGGAAGGGGCTGATGCCACCAGGTTTTAAAATCTGTTCCTGGAGAGACTGGGTATTTGAGGGGGGTGTGACCCTGTGAAGTTCAACAGAGTGGGAGCCAGGCACCAGGCGAGAGTGGTGGCAGACTTCTGGCTTGTACCTCCTGCCCTTCAGGGCAGCAGCCCTCTGAGAATGCCCAGTTGGACAAGCTGGCCTAAAATGGCATTAAGAAAGACTATTCCTGTTACTCTGACTGAAATCCTGTAGTAATCCCTTCCAGGTGCTTCCCTCAGATACTTCTGAGTAACGAAGTGGCCTGTAGG